AGGACGCTGTCGGATAATAATCCAACAAAGGACTTGACGGTCCACAAAGGATCTGATGTGAGTATCGGTGCCCAACCAGAAAAGGAAAGAATGCAAATGCATCAGGTTATAGAATCATCTGAATAATTCGAAGCATAAATGCAAAGGAATTATGAATCCAAATCGAAGGATCAGAAGTAGACGCTCTGATCAAGGATGGATAGGTTGAATAGTCTTAGGGGCACAATTTGACGACAATATGATTGGCGAGAACCAGCTCATGTTCAAAAATGACGTTTGAGCCAGAAAGATAATTTGAAAGGATCAACTGATGATTGCGTGCATTCGCACTCATGTTGAATCAATAGGATCAAAATGACGGTGTCTAAGGATACCGACGAATATTGCAGACATATGGAAAGCATCCATAATGCAAGCAGACAAATATTGCAGAGCAATAAGCTATTAAGGATTTTTGGAGGATCGAATAGTATTTCGAAGATCATTGTGAAACACATGCACAACTGGGGGATGAGCTGATACTCGATAAGTGCGAGAATTATCCATAAGGGTATTCAGGTGACAAAGAAAAGCAAGGCAGTAAACTTAAAGGATTATCGAAACAACGACGAGTATTTTGGTGTATCTTGTAATAACAAGACCAACTGGGGATGAATGTAGGAATAACAACTGCAAGTAGTTATCATAAGGGTTGACGGTGGAAGGGGAATTGCAAACGCGATGAACACAAGTTCCCGGGTTAACAGCGGAGAGTATCTTCAGGGTCTTCACATGCAGCAGACGATCATCAGTAATAAGGGGCTCTCCGGGTGAAAGTGATAACGAGATCCTAGTGTTAGATTTAGCAATATTCATTTAGCCCGAATAGAAGAGAGATCAGAGTCCCAGAGTATAGACAAGGAGTAAAAGATCTTAATACCACCCAATGACGACGTGGGCCCGTAAGCCACACATCCATGTTAGTAAAAGTTTTTCAATGACTAGACTCGACTTCGGCCAAGGAGCATGGAAGGGGGATTCCTACAGGCAGTCGGCTCTGATACCAACTTGTGACGCCCCCAATTCGACCGTACACTAATCATACACGCAAACGTGTACGATCAAGATCAGGGACTCACGGGAAGATATCACAACACAACTCTACAAATAAAATAAGTCATACAAGCATCATATTACAAGCCAGGGGCCTCGTAGGCTCGAATACAAGAGCTCGATCATAGACGAGTCAGCGGAAGCAATAATATCTGAGTATAGACAAGTTAAACAAGTTTGCCTTAAGAAGGCTAGCACAAACGGGGATACAGATCGAAAAAGGCGCAGGCCTCCTGCCTGGGATCCTTCTAACTACTCCCGGTCGCCGTCAGCAGGCTGCACGTAGTAGTAGGCTCCTTCCGAGTAGTACTAGTAGTCATCGACGGTGGTGTCTGGCTCCTGGGCTCCAACGTCTGGTTGCGACAACCAGGTAGAAGGGAAAGGGGAAAAGAGGGAGAAAGCAACCGTGAGTACTCATCCAAAGTACTCGCAAGCAAGGAGCTACACTACATATGTATGCATTGGTATCAAAGGGAATAAGGGTATCATATGTGGACTGAACTGCAGAATGCCGGAATAAGAGGGGGATAGCTAGTCTTATCGAAGACTACGCTTCTGGTAACCTCCATCTTGCAGCAGGAGAAGAGAGTAGATGGTAAGTTCACCAAGTAGCATCGCATGGCATAATCCTAACCGATGATCCTCCCCTCGTCGCCCTGTGAGAGAGCGATTACCGGTTGTATCTGGCACTTGGAAGGGTGTGTTTTATTAAGTATCCGGTTCTAGTTGTCATAAGGTCAAGGTACAACTCCAAGTTGTCATGTTACCGAAGATCACGGCTATTCGAATAGATTAACTTCCCTGCAGGGATGCACCACATAATCCAACACGCTCGATCCCATTTGACCGGACACACTTTCCTGGGTCATGCCTGGCCTCGGAAGATCAACACGTCGCAACCCTACCTAGGCACAACAGAGAGGTCAGCACGCCGGTCTAAATCCTATGGCGCAGGGGTCTGGGCCCATCGCCCTTTGCACACCTGCACGTTGCGAACGCGGCCGGAAGCAGAACTAGCCCCTTTAATACAAGAGCAGGCTTACGTTCCAATCCGGCGCGCGCCGCTCAGTCGCTGACATCACGAAGGCTTCGGCTGATACCACGACGTCGAGTGCCCAGAACTGTCCCCGCGTAGATGGTTAGTGCATATAGGCCAGTAGCCAGACTCAGATCAAATACCAAGATCTCGTTAAACGTGTTATTTTGAAATAACCGCGAACGCCGACCAGGGCCAGGCCCACCTCTCTCCTAGGTGGTCTCAACCTGCCCTGTCGCTTCGCCACAAAGATCCGCTCAAAGGGCCGTCGGGACAAACGTCCTTTCGGACCCAATCCGTGGATCACTCGCGGGTACTCCTACGAGCCGACCCGTCTTTAGTCACCACAAGTATCATATATTATGTATATAAGTATATACCCGTGATCAACTCCCGAGTGATCACGGCCCGATAGTATAGCATGGCAGACGGACAAGAATGTATGGCCACTGATGATTAAACTAGCATCCTATACTAAGCATTTAGGATTGCACGTAAGGTATCAACAGTTATAGCAACAATGACAGGCTATGCATCAGGATAGGATTAACGAAAAGCAGTAACATGCTACACTACTCTAATGCAAGCAGTATAGAGGAGAGTAGGCGATATCTGGTGATAAGGGGGGGCTTGCCTGGTTGCTCTGACAAGAGAGAGGGGTTGTCTTCAATGTAGTCGAACACACGGACATCGGCAGCGGTCTCAGAGTCTACCGGAAATAAGTAACGAAGGGGGAACATAATAAATAACAGAGCAATCAAATGTAACACAAAGCAAGACGCGGCAATACGTTGTGCTAGAGGTGACGTAACGCAGGGATAGGTGATACCGGCGAAGGGGGGAAACATCCGGGAAGTATTCCCGATGTTTTGCGTTTTCGGACAGATACACCGGAGGGGAAAAGTTGCTTGTTTGCTATGCTAGAGATGTGTGGCGGACGAACGGGCTGCGTATTTGGATTCGTCTCGTCGTTCTAAGCATCTTTCATGTATAAAGTTTTTCCATCCGAGTTATCAATTATTTTATATTAATTTTCAACGTTTTAATCATTTTTTGAATTTTTTATGTTTATTTTTAATACGAAATACTAAATGGCTAATATGCTAAGTACACACACGTCAGTACCCTCCAAAGGCAGACAAGTGGGGCCCCTCAACAGTCAAGTTTTGACTGGTCAATAGTGTCAGTTGGGACCCGGTTGTCATTGACTTAGCTAGTTAAACCTTATCCATTAAAATAGTGTATGGGTCCCACGTGTCATTTGCACATAATTTTAACTAGGGTTTATTTAGTGGTGGGGACTAACAGAGGGTGTTTTGTGCTAGGTTTAGAGCTAATCAACAAATAGGCCCCTAATCTAATCTGGGATGGCCCATCCATTGTGTGGCTGTACATCACGCACAAGAACACACACGCACATGGCCATGGCGTGGCCAAGATGTGTGAGCAGCCGCAGGGGAAAGTAGCAGCGGCCGCAGGGGAAAGTAGCAGTGGCCGTGGCCAAGCAGCAGCGGCTGCACGCGGCGCTGGCCGGCGCGGTCGGCGAGCAGGGCAAGGGCGCTTGGGGCGAGCAGCAGGCGAGTGCAGGTGTGCGCGGGTGCGGCCGACTGCAGCAACAGCGCATTGGCGAGGCAACGCGCGGGGCCGCGGGGTGGACAGCAGGGGCGCGGGGCGGTAGCGGGCAATGTCAGGCGGCAGGCACGCAGCAGCAGTCAGCGACGAGGCGGCAAGCGAGCGCGGTAGCGGGAGCGGTGGTAGCAAGCGGAGCATATCGATAGTAGGCGGCGGCACGAGCAACATCAGCTAGTATGCACGTACGCGTACGCGGGAGCTCGGACGAGCTTAAGAAGATGCAGGGGAGGAAGTGGGGCTCACATCGGAGCTCAAGGAGGACTCGGGATGCCGGAGCTGCTCGAAGATGGGCGAATCGAAGACGAACAGAAGCGGTTGTCGACGGAGGGGATCGACGTATGCGGCGCCGTCTTGTCGATCCGGGTCGAGGCAGTCCACTTCGGGGTTGAGGACGATGGCCCGCGTCTTCTGGATACAAAGGCTTGGCAGGGGAGTGGTCGAGGCCACGACAACGGCGACGACACGGCGACGACAACAGGCGGACGAGCTCGGGAGGGAGAGAGCGTGGGGGCGGGGATTGGGGCGCGCTAGGGTTCCTTAGGGAGAGGGGGCTTGGTGCGGCCTTATCCCTTTCGCGGACCGTCAGATGGGCGGCGCGTGGGCGTCGTCGGCAGTGGCGCCGGTCGATGGGCGCCACGCCCTGTCTCCGCTCCTGTAGCGAGGAGGGAGGTGACCCGGTTGGGCTGGGCAAGGTCTGCTAGCTGGGCCGGTTGGCCCAGTGGGGGGAGGGGTTGTTTTCTGTTTCCTGTTTTCTATTAGTTACCAGTTCATTTTTGTTTTATAAAATACAAAAGTTGTACCTAGATTAGTATTCCAATGTATTCCACTGCCACAAAAGTTGAACTCCAAAATAAAATAGTTTAAAATTTTATTAATCACAAAAAGGCATTTAATTACTTGTTTATGTTGCTGTTTTATTTATTTTAGAGCACTTAAATATTTTATAGGAATGTGGTTTATTCACCACAATTACATATGAATTATTTGCTACAGCTAGAACTTTTTAGTTTTGACTTTTGATTTTTTTTAATTATTTCACTTTGTTTTAAAATTGAATTTTGAATCGGTTTGAATCAACGCGAGATTAACATTAGTAATCTTGGTGACGTGGCATCAGTAGTAGAGGGTTACTGTAGCTTAAATATCTGGGCGTCACAAGAGTAAAGTTGAATGATCTGTCCTCCTTCATCTTTCATTTCTTAATGATGTTGTTAAATAATCTTTTTCTTTCTTTCTTCAGGAACTTCAGAAACACGGTAGCCAGGATATGATCATGGCTTTGGTAGGAAATAAGGCTGACCTACATGAAAAACGCACTGTGTCTTCTCAGGTGTGCATAATTTTCTGGGAGAATGTGTCTTGGGATATTGATGCTGAATGAATTATAAGGAGATTTTGAACCATATATGCTTTGCTCTCTGAAGGAAGCACAGGAGCACGCGGACATGAACAATATGTTTTTCGTTGAGACATCGGCGAAAACGGCTGATAATATAAACCAACTATTCGAGGTATGTATCAAGATCCTAGATTACAGCAAGCAATTTGCTTTTGCACGTAGAGAGAGTTGGTGACAAACGTCACAAAAACATTAGATTTACCTAAGCTCTATTCAGGGGTGTACCCAGAGTTGGGCCACGTCCATGGCTAGACAAGAGATTGGTACGGGCTGGGCCTTTTCCCATTTTCTAAACATTCACTTATTACCCTAAAATTAGCTGGGCTTTTGGTCACAAGCCAGGGTTGCAGGCCTTGGCTGCCCTGGGCGGCTCTGTTCATCAGTTTTTTCTTTAACTGAAGAAAAATCAGTTTTTTGTTGAGTGACGCAAAAGTGCTTGTGACAGAGAAGATCAATGCATGTTTATTACTCCCTCTCTAAACTTTTATAAGACGTTTTAGGTCACTAGGGAGTACTAATTGATATGCTGATTGGCCTGTGTGCATAAACTGAAAATGATGGAATTCTGAAATATTTTCTATGTTACTTTTCTTTGGAGAAAACCTTGTGTTTTTTGTTCAAAACATCTAGACTCTCCTAGTCCAACCACCATTCGTCATGTTCTTATTTGTGAAAAAAATGCCGGTTTTATTACATGTTATATGGCCAGGGCATGTTTTCGAAGCTCGACTTCCCCCACATCCTACTGTTGTGCTGTTCCTCTAAACAGTAGAGGTATCAGTAAAAAATCATGTTAAGCACACTGTATTTTACTTGATGACAGGAAATTGCCAAGAGGCTGCCGAGGCCTACACCGCCATCCTGATTAACATCGGTCTGTGTTTGTAAACAGCCTGGGTGATTGTGTAATGCACAATATGAGTAGAAACGCCTGAACGAACATTTGTGGCTGTTTCAACATGGCAGGTCAAGCCATCTGTATCCCTGCGATCATTGTTTTTGGAAACGTAGCTCATGTAAAGCTTGTCCATTGCTCTAACTGTGCCGAAATGGTGGAGGTAATCTGCTCCCAGCACGGGTAAGTTAAATGAAGCTTAGGGCCGTGCTCTAACGCATGGATGTTCAGTAAGTATCTTAATATGGTTGAGACTGAAACATCTTATCAATGCAGTGCATTGTTTTTAGGTTCGGCTTGACTCGCCTGTTGAGCCGCCATTGACTGTAGTTTACTGGAAGGGTTCATTGCTATCACTGTTGTGGATAATAAACCCGGACAGAGGGAGTAGTTAAATAATCAGTTTTGCTGACCAAATAATAGTACTACTAGTTTAATCACTTTTGCTGACTTAGGCTTCCTTCCTTGTGTTATGTCAGCTTGATCTCACTCGGTTAACATTATGCTTGTGTCGTGTGAAAGAGAGAACCAAAAACAAAGTGTTAGTTACTTCCATCTTAGACTAGCCACAGTGGGAGTAACTTCAGCAGTAACATCGAGTTCACCTCAGCAAATTTGCTTATGTGGCAATGAGTTAATGAGGAGAGAGGTAGTAGTAGTAACTTAGCTAGTTACTGTAACATCACATGTCCCAATGCAATATGAGTCTACAACCTAATAAATGAAGCTATGCATGTTACCACACTTATGTTACTACCTACTATGAAGATAGTAATATAGTCTAGAAATACGTGTATGTTACTAGTGTATGTTACTCTCCATTGTGGGTGTGCTTGGATGTTTGGTTGTCTTGATCGCACTTTTCAAAGGAGGAAAAAGACTTTCTCTATCTGGGAACAAGGCAAAAGAATGTGCTATAAAGTCAATAAAACTACTGCTACATGGTAAGAATTGTGTAGGAGACAGAATTGACACGAGATGCGGCTCAAGCCTGTATCCGTCGTCTCCTTCCTCGTTCTGCTCCTCTTCCACTTCTTCGCCGGCGGTGACGGGCACTTCATCTACAACGGCTTCGCTGGTGCGCGGCTCGACCTGGACGGCATGACCGTGGTCGAGCCTGACGGCAAGCTCGCGCTCACCAACATCACGTCCCAGCTCAAAGGCAGCGCCTTCCACCCGACGCCCCTCCGCTTCCACGAAACCAACGGCACCGTCGCACGGTCCTTCTCGACCACCTTCGTGTTCGCCATTGTCACCGACCTGGTCACGGTGGGCGGTAACGGCCTCGCCTTCTTCGTCGCGCCCACCAAAAACCTGTCCATGGCGTCGCCCAGCCAGTTCCTCGGCCTCTTCAACCCCCAGAACAACGGCAACGCGAGCAACCACGTCTTCGCCGTCGAGCTTGACACCATCCTCAACCCGGAGTTTCGGGACATCAGCAGCAACCACGTCGGCGTTGACGTGAACGGCCTGGCATCCGTCGTGGCCGAACCTGCAGGCTACTACGACGACGACACTGGCGATTTCAAGAACCTGACTCTCATCGCCGGCGATGCCATGCAAGTTTGGGTGGACTACGACGGCCGATCCACGGTGCTCAACGTGACCCTCGCGCCTGTGGAGGCTCCCAGGCCCATAAAGCCCCTCATCTCCGTCACCGTCGACCTCTCGCCGGTGCTGAACGGTACGGCGTACGTCGGCCTCTCGTCGTCGACGGGGCCGTTCCGCACGCGCCACTACGTGCTGGGCTGGAGCTTTGCGCTGGACGGGGCAGCGCCGCCGCTCGGCTACTCAAACCTCCCCAAGCCGCCCCGCATCGGCGACAGCAAGCGACGGTTCAAGGCGCGCGACGTCATCCTTCCGGTGGCCACTCCGATCCTCGCGCTCGCGGTGGTCGCCGGCGTCTCTCTGGTCGTGTGGCGGCAATTGAGGTACGCGGAGCTGAGGGAGGAGTGGGAGGTGGAGTTCGGGCCGCACCGGTTGGCGTACAAGGATCTGTACCGCGCCACCGGCGGCTTCGACGGCAAGCACCTTCTCGGCGTGGGCGGGTTCGGGAGGGTGTACAAGGGCGTGCTCCCGGCGTCCAAGAAGGAGGTGGCCGTGAAGGTCGTCGTGTCGCACGACGACGCGAAGCTGGGATGAAGCAGTTCGTCGCCGAGGTTGTCAGCCTCGGCCGCCTCCGGCACCGCAACATCGTGCAGCTGCTCGGCTACTGCCGGCGCAGAGGCGAGCTCCTCCTGGTTTACGACTACATGCCCAACGGCAGTCTGGACAATTGGCTGTACGACCGGAAGCGACGTCGCTGGGCTGGGCGCAGAGGCTCAGCGTCATTAGAGGCGTCGCGTCCGGCTTGCTCTACCTCCACGAGGACTGGGAGAAGGTGGTGGTGCACCGGGACATCAAGGCGAGCAACGTGCTCCTGGACGGCGAGATGAAGGCGCGGCTCGGCGACTTCGGGCTGGCCAAGCTGTACGACCGAGGCACCGACCCGCAGACTACCAGCGTGGTGGGCACCATGGGTTACCTCGCGCCGGAGCTGGCGTGCACGCGGCGGGTCACGCCGGCCACGGACGTGTTTGCGTTCGGAGCGTTCGTGCTGGAGGTGGCCTGCGGCCGGCGACCCATCGAGCACGGCGCGGCCGACGAGAACCGGCTGGTGCTCGCGGACTGGGTGCTCGAGCGCTGGCACAACGGGGACGTCACGGACACGGCGGACCCGCGGCTCTGCGGCGCCTACGATGTCGAGGAGGCCGCGGCGGTGCTCAGGCTGGGCCTGGTGTGCTCCCACCCGGCGCCCGCCGCGAGGCCGTCGATGCGGCAGGTGGTGCAGTACCTTGACGGCGACGTGCCGATGCCCGAGCCGGCGCCGACGTATCGGAGCTTCACCGCGGTGGCCTTGATGCAGAACGCCGAGGGCAACGACTCCTACGTTGCCTCATACCCGTTGTCTTCGGCGACTAGCGTCGGCGCATCCTCTCTTCTCTCCGGGAGGTGATGTTCGAAGGCCGATCCCTGCCTCTCTGGCAACAACAGGGAGTACGCTGCCAGGGATCACAACGTCTTCTGATCCTTTTTTTTTTTGAGATGAACATCTGCTGATCCCTGCAACATTTTTTTTAGATAGCAAACCGCTCATACCAAGCGCACTGCACGGTTTCATCCAGCACGTCAATCGAACCGGCAGGCAGTACGTGAGATAGTTAGCATGATTGTTAACGGATTTTCGGTAGACAATTTGTGAGTCATGAAATGTTTTAGGGTTTTAAGTGACAGAAAAATGTCTTTGTTTATTGGGAAAAGGGCGGCGCATGGGTGATTCAATCTCCGGGGCATATCGTACATGATCTTCACCCGCCACCTCCACCATTAGGCCCGGATCCTTCCTCGCTTCCACTCGCCGTGCTTGGGGTGATCAAAGGGAGCCCTTGTGTCTCTAACCGCCATTGGAGCGCATGGGGTGAGTTAGGGTTCGTGTCCTAGGAGGCCGGCGGAGATGGAAAGCTCGGGCGAGAAAGGGGGAGGTGCAAGGTGTCAAATAGCAGTTGGAAAGAATGAATCTGTCGGAGAAGGAAAGCACGAAGCTTGTGATCGATTATGATCTAGAGGAAGGAGGAGTTGTGCCAGAGTGGATGTTGTTAGGGAGAGTTCTCTCCACCGTAGGGTTTTGCATGTTAACACTACCGCGGAAGCCCTTCAAGTTGCATGGGGAAACCCAAAGGGGTTGATCTTCAGTTTTGTACATGAGAACACGTTCGTTGCAATTATGGATGGCAAGAGGGACCAAAAGATGGAATCTAGGAGGGTGGTCCTTGGATGGTTGGGAAACATGCAGTTGTGTTAGAAATCTTTGATAGTCGGTCTCGGCTGACGGACTGGAAGTTTGAGAAGCTGCAAGTTCGGGCAAGTGTTATTAATCTGCCCTTAAATCTTCGATATTTGCCATGGTTGAAGAAAATTTCAGTTATGCTAGAGGAGGTGATCAAGGTGGATGTTGATGCAAAGGGCTTTGCCTTTGGAGAATTGCTTAGGGCGAGGTTTGAATTAAGGTGAATGAACCATTGACGCGTTGGGTACAAATTGAACCGGTTCGGCGAAAGGAGGCCAACTTCTATGATACTCAGTACGAGAGCTTATCGTATTTTTCTTTCTCATGTGGTTTACTTGGACATGCAAATCTAATTGCCCTACACCTGCTGCTCGTGATGTGCTCGTCCACCTGCCTTTCAGAGAGAACTTAGGTGGTCAAGGGTCAAGCTGTAGTTGGAGTATCGGTAATCAGAGGAACCAGACGGAGCCTTCCGGTAATCAGAGGTGTTGATGATGCAGAAGATGGAGACAAGGCTACGTCCCTATCAGTGTGAAAATCGGCAGACCTCGGGATAGGGGGTCCCGAGTTGTGGATCTCGGACAGATGGTAACATGAACAAAGGGACGATGTTTACCCTAGGCCCTCTTGATGGAGGTAAAATCCTACTTCCTACTCTTGTTTATATCAATGGAGAAGTATCAAGTACATAGTTGATCTACCTCGAGATCGTCAGATGTGTTCTAACTCTAGGGCTAGGTGAATGATATTGCATTGAAGTCTCCTCTACGGGCTAAACCCCTTGGCTTATATAGACACCAGATAGGGTATCTAGGGTTACAAGATCGGTATCTTGGCATGGAGGCGGCGGGAGAAGTCTTGGAACATACGTTAAGCCTTCGGCAGGTGCAGTCTTGATTACGCCACGTCATGCAGCTCCCGGAGTCCATCTTGAGAAGAATGAGGGCCCATCGGCCCAACCCGAGGAGTATGGGTCGACTAGGTTAGTACCCCCCTAGTCCAGAACACCGTCAGTCCCTAATGAAACAAATGTCGCCAGAGATGCAGTATATAAATTTAATGCTCGTGGGGGTTAGCTGATCGTGGAAGCAATGGCAATAGAGGAATGGGCGGGAACAACAATTAGGTTTACAAACATGTTGATATGAACGTTAAGCCATAGAAAACTCTCAGTTGATGTTGGTTGATCAGGAGTACTTGAATAAAAGAAGGGGAACAATAAGAGTGAATTGTCTAATGAAACAAAAGACAGTAGGTACTTGAAGAAGAAGCGAGCAACAAAAAAAAAGAACTTTGACGGAGGCTAAGAAACAACCCTGCTAGGACCAATGAATTGTTTGTTTTGGAATTGTCATGAGCTTAGGAACCGGAAGACTGTTCGTGAGCTGGAAGCGCACACACTAGTTTTTGTGTGCGAGATAAAGATTGAGGGGGAGAGTTGCGTATTTACGAGCCTAGTTGGGGTTCAATGATTGTCTGCCCGTAAGCAGTATTGGCTTAAGTGGTGATCTAGTGTTTTGGACTAAAGGTTGTTGTTACTATTAATAATTATGACTATCCATTGCCAACTCCATCAAGACCGCCGGAATCGGCACCAAGGAAGAAGCGGGTGATCCAACCAACCCAACAAAAAGAGCCGCCAAGAAGGTTATAAGGGGGTTTCGGGGAAAGAAATGGGAGGAGAAGAAGAAGCGAGAAGTGGCAGCGGCCAAGATGATGGGGAGATTCGAGGACATCTTGGCGAAGGAGGAGGCATGTGTCGAACGCTCCATAGTGAAGGAGAAAAAGAAGGTCTAAAGGTTTAACATCTTGATGGCGACGAACAAGAAGAAGCTCAACCTCGAAGAGAAGAAGACCAACGCTTAAGAGAGGAGGGTTGAGCTCGTGGTCGCTTCAGGGGATACCAAGATGTTGACTATGAGGATAGACAAGTCGGATGACGATGTGGCGATGAACGTTCACGCCATCCGTGTCAAGATGTGGGAGTGTTTGGCGGCCGAGATGGAGACTCGGATAGTCGGGTTTTCGAAGATGGATGCCTTGTTTTTTCGTCTAGGGAATTAATCGGACTATTGCGAGCAGCTTTCCAACAAAAAAAATGCATGGAATGACCTTAAGCTTCCATCCGCAAGAGAGATAAAGACCACTAGGGCAAAAATACTCTTTTTGCATGGATTGTCGGACAAATACTTTTGTGATCGGACACACTGAAAACTATGAGCATCCATCTCTTTTTTGTTGTGATCGGATGCTATAAACACCGCATTTTAACTTGCTCTGCTCTCATATTGTTACGCATTTGAAATAAAATTGACGGGGTTTAAGCGGATGTTGAGATTTGGTTTGATCGCCAATTCCTGCATCATGTCCGCGTAATGTTTAGGGTGTTTGGTTTGATGGCCAACTCCTACATTCTGTGGTACTGTTCCAGAGCAATTCACAACAAATAGTGTGTGCGTGTGTGTGTTTTAAGGGACGGACAGTGACACACCCGACCCAGCATAAAATCCACACCGGTTGTTATCAATGAACACGAAGTTGCCCGTGCCGCCGGCAGAGAAAAAGGCAGCGCCCAGGGGCCAGGGCACAAATCGTGCGCGATCAAACGTTGAATAAATCGACTGCGACTTCTACGACCAAATTTATTTTGCGGGAAGACTTGGATCATATTCAGACGATTGTCAAACAAGAAATCCAATACAGTGGCATACTGCACTGTTCGACTCGTGAGGGCCCAGGGGAGGAGGGACCGCGTCGCTTACTCACATCTGACCCACTTGCCAGCCAAGGGATCTCTCTGTTGATTATTTCCAGTCCAAAATTCAGGAGGAAAATCTTAAAGAAATTTAGTGCGAAATAGATGTGCATCAGCATCACGTTGCAGTCACGTACTCACACCCACTTGCCAACCAAGCCGCCATGGCGCGCAGGTCGCTCTCCTGCTCCTATCATGCTGTCCATCCTTCTCTGCTACTCTCTTCGTCTGAAAATACTTGTCGAAAAAATAGATGTACTTCCTCTGTTTCTTTTTAATCTGCATATAAGACTTAGTCAAAGTCAAACTTTATTGAAAAAAATATCAACATCTATAATACTAAAGTTATATGGTATGACATTTAATTTCATGATGCATCTAACAATATTGATTTCATATTGTGAATCTTTATGTTTTTTCTATAAACTTAGTTAAAGTTGACAAAGTTTGATTTTGATCAAATCTTATATGCAGACTAAAAAGAAACAAAGAGAGTATCTAGATATATGTTAGTTCTAGATACATTCATTTTTATTAATTTCTGCGACAAGTAATTTCGGACGGAGGGAGTAGCTAGCCAGGTACAGTACAAATGGTAGGTTCCTTGCAGCCAACAGTAACCCAGGCTAAACTATACTTTATGCAACATCAAGTATTAAGTACACCGAATCCTTGTGTTGCTTGTGACTTGTGTACAAGTGCGGCGGTCAAAGTTGAGGTGACCAAGCGACAAGCGTGCAGCGCGAGGGCACCATGGTTCCTACTCGCAAGTTGTTGTTGCTGCTGCTCGCCCAGCTGCTTGTGGCAGTGGCCGGCGTCGAGTTCGCCTACGAGGGCTTCCCCGTCGCCGGGTTGGCGCTCGACGGCATAGCAAGCGTCACGTCGGACGGGCTGCTGCTGCTCACCAACGACACCGACTTGAACCTAGCCCACGCCTTCCACCCGGCCCCGCTCAGGTTCCACCGGACGTCCTCCTTCTCGACCACTTTCGTGTTCGCCATCGTGTCGGAGCTCGTCGATCTGAGCACGAGCGGGTTCGCGTTCCTCATCGCGCCGACCAGCAGGGACCTGTCTTCGGCGATGGCGGCGCAGTACCTCCGGACTGTTCAACGCCAGCGACAACGGCGACGCGCGGAACCGCGTCTTCGCCGTCGAGCTGGACACCGTGCGCAACCCGGAGTTCGCGGACATGAACGACAACCACGTCGGCGTCGACGTCAACAGCCTCAACTCCTCCGCGGCTGCCATGGCGGGCTACTACGACGACGCCACCGGCGCGTTCCGGAAGCTGAGCCTGGCAAGCCGGGAGCCCATGCAGGTGTGGGTGGACTACGACGCTGCCGCGACGGAGATCACCGTGGCCTTGGCTCCGGCGCGGTCGCCCCGGCCCAAGAGGCCGCTCCTGACCGGAAGGATCGACCTCTCCACGGTCGTCGCCGACACGGCGTACGTCGGCTTCTCGTCGGGGTCCAGCATCGTGTTGTGCAAGCACTACGTGCTCGGCTGGAGCTTCAGCCTGGACGGCCCCGCTCCAGCGCTCGACCACGCAAAGCTGCCGACGCTGCCCCGCATTGGCCCCAACCCCCAGTCAAAGACGCTCGCCATCGCGCTGCCGATCGTCACCACGGCAGCCGTCCTCGCGGCGGCCGGCGTGGGCCTCTTGTTGCTCCGCCGGCGGCTCAGGTACGCGGAGCTGCGCGAGGATTGGGAGGTGGAGTTCGGGCCGCACCGGTTCGCGTTCAAGGACCTGTACGACGCCACCGCCGGGTTCAAGGACAAGCGGCTGCTGGGCACCGGAGGGTTCGGGAGCGTGTACAGGGGCGTGCTCCCGGGGTCCCGTACCGAGGTCGCCGTGAAGAGGGTGTCACACGAGTCGAGGCAGGGGATGAGGGAGTTCATCGCGGAGGTGGTAAGCATCGGCCGGCTCCGGCACCGCAACCTCGTACAGCTGCGCGGAGCTGTTGCTGGTATACGATTACATGCCACATAGCAGCCTCGACAAACACCTGCACGGGCACGGCCATGCTCTGGAGTGGGCTCAGAGGCTCAGGATCATCAAAGGCGTCGCCTCCGGGCTGCTGTACATGCACGAGGACTGGGAGCAGGTCGTCATCCACCGGGACATCAAGGCGAGCAACGTGCTCCTGGACGGCGAGATGAACGGGCGGCTCGGCGACTTCGGACCCGCAGACCACGCATGTGATGGGCACCATGGGGTGTGATGGGAACCATGGGGTACCTGGCGTCGGAGCTGGTGCGCACCGGCAAGGCGACGACCCTCTCCGACGTGTTCGCCTTCGGGGCGTTCCTCCTGGAGGTCGCCTGCGGCCGGAGGCCCATCGAGGAGGAAGAGGAGGAGGACGTCTACGGCGACGTCGACCGCTTCGTGCTGGCGGACTGGGTGCTGGGGCACTGGCGGAATGGCGCCATTGCCCGCGCGGTGGAAGCGGACAATGTGCTGCGGCTGGGGCTGACGTGCCTGCACCCGTCGCCCGCGGCACGCCCGAGCATGAAAATGGTGATGCAGTACCTCGACGGCAGCGCGCTGTTGCCGGAGCTTCCCCCGACGTACGTGACGGTCAACGTGCTTGCGGTCATGGAGACACACCAGGGCGTCCTTGGCACGTGGGCGGTCTGGCGGTCGGCGTCCAGCGTCGCCACCATGTCTGACATTGGCCTCTCCGGCCGATGACTGGGGCAAGCTGATCAACACGTTACTAGGAAGATTGATGAATGTATGTTTGGAATTTGGATCTGGACATATGAGATTTCTACAGTTTTAATTAACATATGAAGTATAGGATTTCTTGGAATGCTATATAGGGGTTAAAAGAAGAATCACGAGTTCACACGCAGGATGTGAACTTTGTCAAGATTGCAGTTCGGATTTCTTACACGAGAGCAGTCTGAAATCTCAACTTGGACCTTCCAGCTTTCACACTTTTCGGAGCATCGTTCTGTACATTGGAGCTCCACGAGCCAGGACATGGCGCTCCCAATCGGACACCACGCCAAACGGGTTCTCCATCCGGCCATCGCTGTCCACCACGAGCTGGCCCTTGCCGTGCGAGATGAACTGCTCTTTCATTCCAAGCAGGACAGACTCCACGTCCGACTGTAAATAGATCTGCAACACCAAAGTGCAAATTTATGCTTCATCTTTTTCTTCCCCAAGCTACAACGAAATGTTCTCCCTCTGACTGAGCTTGATGCTATAATCACCCTAACACATGTGCATGCGAGATGCTATTGAGGTGTTTAATACTGTCCTGCTAGATTGGTTACTATCCTATGTTGGTCATCATACTGTGTTCTACTACCTCCGTTTCTAGTAAAATATAAGACGTTTTGGCAGTTTAGGAACGGACGGAGTAGTTCCGAATAACTAGATTTGTTGCTTCCGTGCTTCCGCAGACACGTAACCATGCTCAACATCTGAAATGGGCAAGTGGGGACCACAGAGTATACCTTTCCATTGACCTGAAGAAGATCGGAAACAGCTTCGACAAGCATCCTTCGTACCATTCTCCACCTATTTTGCTCTTTGTTGAAGTCAGGATTTGGGCACTGCAAAAGGAGACCACAGCTTAACCAAGGCAGGTTATCCACTAGGTAGTGTAGCATCCATTGAGATATACACAAAAAAGCAGTATGACGAGATGCTAAAGAGTTAACAATACCTGTATTGAGACAAGTGTCAACAGTCCAGGATAACTTGAAACTATCGAGCGAAATGTGGAGGTTGCATTTGTCGATAGAAAGTATCTGCCAAAAGTAAGCGATGGCATCAGTAATGATGAAATAGGAGTCACAAAATGAAAAAGAAAAACGAGCTACACGAATAAAAGTAAAATTCATAAAATGCTTGGAATAGTTAAAACAGTTATTAGAAGAACTTCCATGTAAGGACTACTAAATGACAAGCAAAAGCATACCCTTGTAGATTACTAAGCGTGACATCTGAACTTGAATACTCAATACAGCAACAATTTTCCCTAAAATGTACTCCCTCTATAAAGAAATATAAGAGTGTTTAGATTACTAAAGTAGTGATCTAAACACTCTTATATTTCTTTACAGAGGGAGTAGCTCTCACGACATTTTTAACATGGATTATGTAATCCACCATCTGTTACGAAATCTGGATCTTTGTTGTGGCATACAACAAAGCAAGACATCTCGTACGCAAAAATCTAGCTCCGAGAGATTTCTGAAACATTGTTTAAGGTTAAGCCGATTTCACTGTCATCTCATCATATAAAAAGGTCCAATGGGTCAATAATTCCCTAATAATAGATAACTGCTCTGGTTCCCAATCAGATTATGACACTTGGAAAATTTCACCATCCTACATGAATTGACGAGTTCAAGTCCAATCTACATGCATTGACAAGTTTAGTCAAACTAGTTGTCCAGAATAATAACCACATTAGAAAAAGAATGCTTCAAGTCAAGGTGGACAGAGTCACAGAAACAAGGTTACTTTGTTCTTTGTTGGAGTAATTTTATGAGCAAACTAGTTGTTGGAACTGACATCACTGGCATGAACAGAAAGGGCGAGGGAAAGGAAATAAATAAGTAATAGTTCTACTAATTAAAGTAGATGTACAGGATGCTTACAAGTTTCTTTTCCCAGCTGATGCTACATCCTGAAGGCACCTTACAACAAGCTACAGCTAAAACAAGTTACAAAAAGGTTGAAGCACTAAATTCAATACAGGATACAGTCAGTTTTTACCTTTTCATTCATCTCAAGCCCAAGAAAATTCGAGCCTTCCCAGTTTCTAGCCATTTGGAATAGAAACAAACCATTTCCTGCACCAAGAAATATACATACTTGAGAAGGGTGCAAGAATCAGAGATGCAAGGCCTCAGAATTTGAGAAAATAGAAAAACTATGAAGAAATTAAGAAATGTTCTTTATCTTGGTAATTTACGCTAGCATACATTTGCGAACATACACTTTGACAAAACACACAGCAAACTAATAACAATTGAATTGCATGAACTATTTTTTGTGATGACTACAGAAGAGAAACTGGCATTCAAGTCTACTGAAGAAAGCCCTATATGCACAAGAAAGAGCAATAGCCGTATGTGACCTGTAAAGCTTGAAATACTTCAATGTACTAGACACTTTCACAAATGGAACCAGTAAGAGCGGCCACATTAAGGTTTTCTATCACAAAGCTGTTTTAATGTTAGCAGCTATAAACTAGTGTGACAAACCACAACTATAGATTTGAGATTGGTCGTCTCCATCTGTGTTCATCATGCAACGTAAAATGATTTGAGATTGAATATTCTAGGAGGGAGGCCTACCACTTCCTATATCAACAAACAATGGTTGTTTGGTGTCAGAGAAGACGTCATCCCATGGAATCTGATAGGGATAGCTCTGCAAAAAGAGGAAAAAATAATGAAAAAAAGAATCCGGGGCCACTAGAGAAAGGGAACTTTACAGTGTTCGGTTTAAAAACTATTCTGTCGATAGTAGTTAAGAAATGTTGACCTTCATTTGACTGAAGCATTCAATAAGAAAAATGGTAGAAATTGCATGCAAACTTAGGTGCATGTCATCAAATGCAACAAAAATCGAATAGAAGAGAATGCCTGTGGCTGTGACACACAGGTCTGATGCATATAGGAACAGAATACATCAATGGGCGATGATTATTTCTGCTACCAAATATATTTATGAACACATTTGTTAAAATTGTTGCAACAACGAGCTGGTTAAATGGTGCTAAGAAGCAATAAGCATGTAATACTACATAGTAAGGTCCATGTTACAAGCAAGGTTTTTGAGTCGATGAGTCGGCGAGTCGCTCAGGGGGGGCGACTCTAGACTAGTCGTGACTAGTCTAGACTCATGGTCGACGAGTCGACATGCGATGAGTCGACGTGAGTTAAGTAGTCAGGAGCAGACCAGCGGCAACCAAGGGAGGAGCCGCAGCAGCCAGCGATGGGAAGAGCAGACCTGTAGTAGCAGTAACCAAGGGATGAGCAGCAGGCAGCAGCACCAGGGGAGAAGGGGACGAGCAGCAAGCCAGGGGCGGCGGCTGCTGCAGAAGAGGGCTGGGTCGGGGAGGGGGGTGGAGCTGTTCGATCTAGGTTTCCAGACGCTCCAATCTTCCTTCAATATTGGCCCAGAAGCAATATTGGCCCAATAAGGCCCAATGAAACCCTAGCCTGCCTAGCTCAATCTGAACCATCTATATTCTCTAATCTTCACCGTCCATCCACTCTCTTCTTTCTCTCTCTCACCTGCTCCCCTTCCAGCCTCCAGGAACGAATCGACAGCCGCAATGGCCTTGCTGCAGCTCCTCTTCCATGGCTTCTCTGCCTCCGCCCCTTCCTCTCCGCCTCCCCCATCCTTCCCTGCTCCGTTTTCTCCGCTCAGCTCCTCTTCCATCACAGATTGATCGAGTCGTTCGACTCAAAGACCGCGACTAGTCGAGACTAGTCGGGACTAGTCGATCGAGTCGCTCGACTCATCCAATGATTCGAGTCGACAGGTTGAGTCAACCTTCATGTAACGACTCGTCGACTAGTCGCGACTAGTCGTTCGACTCGAAATCCATGGTTACAAGTCCTTGAGCTGCTAAAATTTCTCAAGCGGAAAACCCCAGTTAATTATTTTCCCCAAAGATCTCTATTTCTTACGTGGAATATTCATCATTTCTTATACAACTATATGTTGTTCAAGTTTTTCTTAAAGGAGTAAAGAGGATTTTGATTTTCAATCCCTTTCTATAATGTACTACTCCATCCATCCCAAAATAAGTGTCGTGGCTTTAGTTCACGTAAAGAGTAAAGCGGTCTAGAAGTTTGAGTCATAGCATTACATAACAGAAAAACGACCATGTCAACTGTCAAACATTGGAATGTGCTCTTGAATAATTTCGAAACAGGGAACTCTCTCCATTTTCTCATAAATGTAACTTGAAGATACTGTTATATTTACAACGTTAAATCCCAAGAACCACTTGAAAATGAGGCTTAATTGTATAGGTATGCACATATATGTCGGCATGCTGGGGGCATCAGGGTATCAGGCTACACTTTTTGTCTTAGAATGTTGAGGACTTGTGGCAAGATTTGTGTCATGCATGATGCATTGATTGTATAGGTACACACATATGTGCTTGCACTGAGGATCATTCTACAATTTTTCATCTTGATAAAATTTTGAATGCACCAGCAGACTCGCTAACAGAAATAGTAATTCTAGAGCATGACTTACTTTATCCAATGCTGCAATACCAGGCAATATTCTTCCTTTGAGAAATTCCCATACAATAGATTCATTTTCAAATGCTGTATATTGTGATGAAGAATCTGATATTGCTTTTACTGCCTTGCATACTGCACCCCCTACTAAAATAATGTCACAGCTATTATGACTTGCTTTGTTCAGTATCTGGCCCAACTGTGTTGCCCCGACAGAAAATTCTTCTGTCAAGTCAAAGCTTGTAGGACCGATCCATAGGATCTTCTGTGAGAAATAATTAAATTAATGTGAGAACTTGATGGGATAAGAGGATTTTCCTAAGAATTAACGCATAAGTTGATAACTGAAAAGAGGGAACTCCAATCATATGTCATATCGGAGGCCTGTACTGTTAACCCCCTCTTTCTATTCAATGAAATGAAACGCAAAGTCTTTGCGTTTTCTCGGAAAAAAAATCATACGTCATATTTGATACTATACCAAGTAAACGTGAAAACATAAATCATCACTTATCAATCATAAGCTCTCAAGTTGCTCAGCATGTATTGTTGTCTGTAATGCGTTATTCTTGTGACCTGTCAGATTTTCAAAGCAACTTTGTGGAGTTGTGGGGTATGTTTTGCCGGTTGATTCTTGTCAAGATGGTGGTAATGGGAGCCAATCACCTGCTATTTTGTGATCGTCATGCACAAACGCGTCCAACAAAGTGGGGACCCACCCAAGCCAGCAGAAAACAGTGAAGGATGAGACTAAAACTAGGCCTTAAGAACAAAATTTATGTGCTATTCTTGGGGCTAGCCCACCCTGGCCCGACCAACAATCTCGCTAAAGCTTGCCACTGGGGGAGGGGGATGGCAGGTAAGTTTTTTGTTGTTGCAATTTTCCAAGCTAAAAAATAGTGCGCATTCCTAATAACAGAAACATGAAATACTGCAAGACATGCTACAAAACTGTGAGATGTTAAAAAAATATTTCTATGCACTACACAGAGCCTCATCACATTCATACCAAGGTCATTTCTAACCTTGTAAGATGACAATAAAGAAGAAATTCTCTCCAATGTCGATGGCCCTATATCAACTGGTGTCCAGCCCAAAGAAATTAAGCCTGGAAGATACATGGACATCAGAAAGTTATATTATTATTTCAACTATCTACTGGTATGTCACTTAAATGACCGAAGTCATCCTTTCAGGCAATTTTGAGAAATAACTACAGCGCAGAAAAAATGCTACCTAGAATTTACCAAATAATATATACCCAAGCAATAATAGACGAGGGAACCATGAACATGCATCATCATCTATCAAATCAGGTGAAGTGTCAACTGTGTAACTTTACACGTTTGCAAATGCAGGGTAATTTCAGCGGCTGATTTGTTTTTTGACCAGAAAACTGTAGGTGAGGCCCTGACAGTAAATTTTATTAATAAAGACAACTTTTTAGATAAAGCGTGCATTTATTAACTTAAAATGTAGCACCAAGCGGATATAAAACATGATGAGCAACACCCGGCCTTTGCATAACTAAGATGCACACAGCCAAACATCAGCAATCTGACAAAAGGAAATAAAAGAACGACATATCAGCAACAATAGTCATATTGGACTGACACTATGCCTATGTCGAACGAGGAGGTGAACCGATCCTGAGAAGTATTTACAGAAGAAAAGAAGGGGGAGTAAGCAATGGAATTTAGCCAAGAGAGAAAAGGACCAGCCAGGAACTAATGCTAGAGTTGGCGTTCTAAAAAAATCTCATTCCTTTACTTCCAAAATGCACCAGGCAGCCATAATGAAGACATCCATGAAGAAAGGCTTGGCAAAAGCAGTTCTTGCAGAAGTGAGGACTGCAGTCATATCACAGCTGATGCTAGGGAGAATACCAATTCTAGGCTAACAGTTTGTACTGAAAGGGCAGGTTAAGAAGAGGTAATCTCGAGTTTCAAGAGGCCCATTTGCACAGAGGACACAACAGTAGCCTTCGTCCATGTAAATAACTTTCTAAGAAAAATATCCCTTCATTCCCTTGTGTTAAGTTGTCGTTGAAAATAAGCTAAGCAAGTAAGATGCATTTTGTCGGAGTAAGGCAAGTAAGCTGAGCAACTGATATCAGTAAAAATCATTCACGTTATTTCAATTCCGTGAATTATATGGGCATAGTCCTGTGGGTAGC